GGTCCTTTACCTTTTACCTTTTACTTGTATTTGGACCCAATCAGAACATTATTTTTTTTATTAAAAAAAAAAGGTCACATTGCCAGAAAGTCTCTGTTTTCCAGAAATGGAGACCATAGCCATGGGCCACTGAGGAAGAAGTCCCTAATAATTGTTTCCCATAACAGGCTACAAAATTAACAGGATGCTTTGGGGAAGGCATGGCTCTTAAAGCGGTACAAAAGTGCTTTAAATGTATAGGGTGGGTGTGACTTTAGTCTCTCCTGCATATCCTGTTTCTCTCCAAAGCTTAAGCACGCAAGTGTCTCTGTCTGTTCCCACACAAGTATCTTCTTATTCCATCCTCGTTTTGGCTTTTCTAATCAAAGCCTCATTGAACCTACTGTCAGGAGTTCAGCCTACACTCGAGTAGGACCTTGGCAGAGACACATGCCTGACTGGCATGTTCTCTCCCTCCTGGTCGATCGTTCGGGAGCTTCAAAAGCTTTCTTCAAAAGCGACCGATGCCAAGAGACATCGGCAAACTTAGGGATCCGCAGAGTCTTCGCAACTTGCGTGACAGACCTCAGCAACTCAGCATTTTGGCTAATCTACTTTATTTACATATAAACACACACGGAGCACTGCAACATGGTTTCCTCTCTCTCTAGCATTAGACAGCAAAGAGAAAAAGAACAAAGGACAATAGTCCCACTTCACGGAACACAGTAAGACAAACATCCTGTTTCCGTCACTTCCCACTTTGTGGAGTCAAAACATATACTGTCATGTGAAAGACAATAATCCCATGACTGCAATCATGGAGCAGGAATTCTTACACCTACCTCTGCTCAAGGTGAATTGGTTCCATGTCCTCTAGAACCACGGTGGGGGCACCTTACTGTTATCAATAGTAATAGGACTGCAAACATTTTCTTGCTCGAAGAGGAGATTTAGCATCACATTGCAAGCAATGTAATGCATGTCATAATGCAGTCAAACTAAACTACATGACGTTGACATGAAGCCAAGTCAGAGTTAAGGCAATAACAGTTTTGCGCCATTCCTCTCTGAAACTGGGGAGTCATTTTGCAGGGTTGCAAAAGTTTTCATGAAATGCCTGCCCCCCATTTTTTAAAGCTCAGCTCCAGTTAGTTACAGCAGAGGAAACAGATAAAGTTAAGACAATGCCTTGTTTTTTCAGTACCTGGATGACAAAGTTGAACATGAAAATAAATAATAACCATTTAAATAAATAAAAAGTTGAATAAAATGCAGAGAAGTCTTGCACGATCTTACCTCTTTACACAATATAGGCTGACAAACTACGGTGAAACACTGCGCAGTCCCGTTCTGACAGACACATCTGGCACACTTGCTGGGCTGCCAATCCTCACCGTCCAGGTACGTTTGACCATCGAAAGAGCAAGGCTCTAAAAGGCATTGAAGACAATTGGTTTTTTCCTAGGTTCACAGAACATTCTAGAGCAGGGCTGGTGAACCTCTGGCCTCCAGATGTTCATAAAGCCTGGCTCCCCATCAGGCCCAGACAGTGTGCTGAACAGCCAGAAATGGTTCAAAAACATCTGGAAGGCCAAAGGATTCCTACCCCTATTCTAGAGTCCATGAGATTATACTCTTGGTTTTCCAAGAGCAATCTCACAACATCAGGCATATCTGTAACACTTCCATAGTTATGTTGTCCTCTGAATCTGTCCCTTGTGGTCAAGAAGAGATGCAGAAGCACATGGAAAGTCTTCTATTTCAAATGAGAAATGTGTGTTCCTCTGGTGGATCCCTATTTCCCCCCTTTCCCAAGAGTAAAATAATTTCGGAAGAATGGAAAGATGCCTTCCGCCATGAGCATCACATTGAAGGGCAAAGGAGGGGAATAGGTTGTTGTTTTCATTTTGATTATATATGTTGTGGCTTTATATTTTGATTTTGTTCTGTGAACCACCCTGAGACCTCCAGGTATACAGAGCGGTATATAAATTCTAATAATAATAATAATAATAATAATAATAATAATAATAATAGATTGTGCCTCCATTCCCAGTTTTCATGCTCTAAATTGTAAATCTGCATAGAATTGATGCACACACAACTAAACAAGCATGGAATTCTGCGTGATCTTGAAAGTTCCCTCATTAAAGGTATCGTGTTAATGCAAATCAGAGATCACACAGGAAGCCAGAAAGTCGGTCTTAAATGATGCATAAATGTGTGTTGCGGTCAATCCCTGCTGCTACATGTCTCCTCAGAAAGGCACATGGCCGGGGACATGCAAAGAAAGAGAGAGTCTGTGTGGTGTAGTGGTTAGAGTATTAGACTAGGACCTGGGAGACACCAGAGTTCAAATCCCCAAGTAGCCATGAAGCTCACTGGGTGACCTACCTCACAGGGTTGCTGTGAGGATAAAATGGAGGGGAAAACTATGTACTCCACCTTGAGTTCCTTGGAGGAAAGGGATATAGATGTTTTAATAATGAAAGAGGCAGCAGTCAGCCGCTGAGAGGACAGCCCAGCACAAAACAGGTTGTGGTGGAAAAAGGTGAGCCTAGATTGGCATTTTCAGGTCACCAAAGTCAAGCCAAGAGGACACTATCAGCACGTAAATAATAATGAATCTTTGGCCTATTAAAATGCAGGGGGGGTTGTTTGTTAATATATTAGATATTTTTGTGTTTTTATATTGGAAACCACCCTCTAATCCCTCGATGAAGGGCAGTATAATAATAAAATAAAATAAAATAATATTTAGTTTAGCAATCAAATGGATGGATAGCTGGAGCGCCAGATTTTCCTCCCCTATTTAAAAGTGGCTGTATAAATCCTGCAATAAGCAACATCTTATTGGACAAGCTTAGATTACATTTGGCTAAGCCGCGGCGACGGCGGCAAGTCTGCTTACGTTTTCAAGACGGGCAAATCCAGGGCGAATCCCCTCTCCCTTCACCACCCTTTTACTCACTCACCTCTGCTGCCGGCACACCGTGGGCAGCACTCTCCTTGCCTGGGGGGGCCCAATCCCTCGCAGGAAAGGGCAGGGCAAGCCTTGGGGGTGCAGGTGATTTCCCCATTGGCACAAGCGCAGGTCGTACATTCGGAGCCAGCCCATTCCGTACCATGCTGCAGGGGGAAACAGAGCGGAAAAAACACATACCTGTCAATTGTTGGCAACAGAGGAAGCTGCGGGACTTTGCTGGACTATATTTTCCCGTCTCCTAATCCCATCATGAAAGTGACGGCAAGGAAACAAGATCATTTGACTCTAAGGCGAGCCCTGCTAGATCAAAGACCAATAGTCCATTCGGGTCAGCATCCTTTTCTCCTAGGGGCCATGTGGGAAGCAGGACATGATGCAGAAAACTCTCCCCACCTGTGATTTCCAGCAATTGGTATTTAGAGGCACATTGCCCCCCCCAAAAAAAAGCAGAGGTACTATACAGCTGGCAATTATGGCTAGTAGCTGCTGAGGGTTTCACCCTCCATGAATTTGCCTCGTCCTCTTTAAAATCCATCCAAGCTACCACAGCATCTTCTATTCCGAACATACTTTTAAGAGTGTCCTGCTTCCCCAGGTGGTATTAAAACCTCAGGCACCCACATTTGGGTTTCCTTTTTTTGGAAAGAAGAGATTGCTGGAGATTTAAGGTGTCTCTGTAATATTTGGAGGTGCACAGATTGGCTCCTACAAGCAGGAAACCCCACTGCCCCACCTCAGATTTCCAGAGAGAGGGAATTCTGAGTGTGCAGCTCCTACCTCGCTCACTCTCAGTCTGTTTCCCAGTCTGTGTTACATCATTCTTACTTGGTAAAGGTAAAGGGACCCCTGAGCATTAGGTCCAGTTGCGGACGACTCTGGGGTTGCGGCGCTCATCTCGCTTTATTGGCTGAGGGAGCCAGCGTACAGCTTCTGGGTCATGTGCCCAGCATGACTAAGCTGCTCCTGGCGAACCAGAGCAGCACACGGAAACGCCGTTTAACTTCCCGCTGGAGCGGAACCTATTTATCTACTTGCACTTTGACATGCACTTTGACTGCTAGGTTGGCAAAAGCTGGGACCGGGCAACAGGAGCTCACCCTGTCGCGGGGATTTGAAATGCCAACCTTCTGATTGGCAAGCCCAAAAAGCTCAGTGGTTTAGACCACAGTGCCACCCGCGTCCCACATTGCTTAGTTAGTAGGGGGAAAGATAAATCATCTACCTCCCACCCTGCTCAGATGGGTTTCAAACCCCCGGGTCTGATAGTCACTGTGACTCTACCACAGAAGAGGACACTGCTTTGCATAAAGTGTACATGTTCTAATGTATTATATGTATAGATGCAAATTTAGAAATACGCTGATTCTGGGATGTTTCTGCTATTCCCTGGCCACTGGTTCTGATAACGGACATTTTCCTAGCCAGAAGTCACTAAACTCCCTACCAAAAATATGGCCAGATCTGTATGGCAGGCTCGACCAGAACTCATAACAGCATCGCCCTTCCTCCTAGCCCTGGGTTGAAAATAAAGCCAGGCTCATATATTTTAATGTTTGCATTTGCTGCAATAATACTCTCGGACATACATTATAACTGGAACCATTATTGCCTTGCTTTAAAACTAAGGAGGACATTTAAATCTTTATATTCTGCCATGTTTCTCCATTTTATGTCCCCATTTAGCCAGCTGGCAAAGAACGCCCCTGCGAGACCCTTTAGATCTCAACTTTCTCTGCTGGCGAAGCAAGCAGAGGAAAAGTTATACAAGCAGCAAAGTGGGCAGAGACCAAAAGCGTAGAGCTGTAGCCGGTGAAATCGCTGTCCGAGCAGAACAGCTTCCGCTCATGCAATGGGATTTCCCATTCCTCTCCTTCCCCCGATGTGCCCACCATCACACTCCCAAAAAACTGATGTGCTCCAGAACAGATTGGTGGGTGCAGGGCGGCTGCTGTGGGATAGGAATATTTTGTTTACAGAAGTCGTTCTGCCTGCACAATGATGTAGTCCAACCCTCTCCAACGCAGGAATCTTTTGCCCAATGGGGGGCTTGAACCAACAGCTCTGAGATTGAGAGTCTCATGCTCAACCGACCGAGCCATCTGAACTGCAGCCTTTGTGGGATTCAGCCCATAAAAACTGTGCTTTCTGAGCCACACGAAAGGTCCATCCATGTCCAGTATTCTGGGCAATGGCTGGCAGTCAGGTCCATTTAGCTTTCACAGCCAACTGCCCTGTTGGACTACGGATTGGGAAGCTGTGATCTAACAACATCTGGGGATCCAAAACTCCCATCTTCCCAGACCACTGACCATTCTGGTGGGGGCTGGATTCCCAACAATGCACTGGAGGGATACATGTTCCCCATTGCTGTGTTGCATCCATTCTCTGTGAAAGCCCACCCTGTTGATTCTTTTTTTTTCTAATGGAAAGGCAGGAAATACTAGAAAAACAACACTCTAATAATAGTCTAATCTAGAGTAGTGGCTGGTCCCTGTTTATCCCTAGCAAATAAAACTTGGACATACACTGCCTCTGCACATGAGGGTTCCATAGCTGTCAACTTACAGATTTGAAAATAAGGGACCAGCAGCCTCGAAAATAAGGGATCAGCAGCCAAAATAAGGGATTTTCCAAGCACAGGTATGTTCAACTTCTGAGCCCCTTCAAGCCAAAGGCAGAAAGCCCAGCAAGCAGCCAAACAAAGCCTCAAGCGGTGGTTCCCACAGCGCAGCAACCCGACAAAGGGGATGCAGCAAGGAAAACCACCGTCACCTCTCCACTGGGAAGCGCTGAGCAAAGGCAAGTCCCCACACAACGCGGCCGATTTGATCGGCATAAGGCATGCAAGCTCCACCCCCCAGTCGTTCTTAGACTCCTTATTGGGTGAGCAACGCAGCCAAGCAACACAGTTGGAGCCTCCCACCTCCCTGGCCGGCAGGGAGGGAGGGAGAGGAGCTGCTTCCTTTGAAACCTGGGAAACTGAAGGGACATCATCAATAAGGGACAGCAGCGGGACACGGCGCTGGGATAAGGGACTTTCCCGCCAAATAAGGGACAGTTGACAGCTATGGGGTTCTATTTTCTGCTAGCATGGTGAAGACTCATTGACAGGCTTACTATTTGGAGCAACGGCTGCTTTCTGAAGAGATGTCTGCTGGCAGTCCTACGCTACTCCTTGCGAGACCCAAATTTTCGACAAATGGGAGAAACTACAATCAGCAAACAAATGAGATGATTAATGGTTCTTCCCCTATACTTATGCAATAAGCGAGCTCCTGGAAATGAACATACTCATATTCTCGCAGCGAAAATGCCAAGCTTGTGAAAATGACCCAGTTGGCAGCGAAAGTGCGCCAGTTATTATTATTTTTTTCCCCATTCCTCTTCTCATCTTTGGGTATCTGCCCAAAAGTTAATTTGCAGCAATAACTTTGGTTAGACCATGTGTGAAGCCGCCTAAGACTGCTCTGACCTAGTTCCCCGAATGGAAGAACTGGAGAAAAATCTAAGGCAGCCAAAGAATTGGCCGAGCGGATCAATGCAACGCTTTGTGGATATTAAGAAAGCCCAGCCATCAAGCGAACAGACTTCTCTCGGCCCGGCATACCAGACAAGCAGCTAGATCTCACTCAGATTGTGTTTCCCGCATGAAGTTCTCTGAATGTCTATCTGAAGCAGCAAGGCAAGGTCCCAAGAGGGAACGAGACAAGAGTTATTTCCAAGAAGAAAAGCCAACTGCAAGTTGAAAGGGATACACAAGAAATGCTCACCTCGTGGACCCGTCCTTCATGCTCACAAAATCCCTCCGTTTGCGGAACGCACTCAGGGCAGCAAGCGTTGGCAGGTGTTTGTAGCACTTCCCCCTGAACGAGAAAAAGCCATTCAGCGAGTGTCACAAATCCATCTGTCTAGAAAAGCCCATTCCTGGTATTCCAACACACAGTCTCAACAATATAGGCCTCCTCTGTCCAGAATGGAAAGGTGCAATAATAATAATAATAATAATAATAATTTTTTATTTATACCCTGCCCATCTGGCTGAGTTTCCCCAGCCACTCTGGGCGGCTCCCAATCGAGTGTTTCTAGCATCCATAAGGATATTATTATTATTATTATTATTATTATTATTATTATTATTATTTTGTGGGGACCGGTGTTCAATCTAACAAAAGAATGCAAATAGGAACTGAGCAGGGAGAGGAAGTAAGTCTCTTGTGCATTGTAGAGACCATATAACGCAGGTCCTGAAAGACCTACACTGGCTCCCAGTACGTTTCTGAGCACAATTCAAAGTGTTGGTGCTGAATTTAAAGCCCTAAACGGCCTCAGCCCAGTATACCTGAAGGAGCACCTCCACCTTCATCATTCAGCCTGGATGCTGAGGTCCAGCACCGAGGGCCTTCTGGCACTTCCCTCACTGAGAGAAGTGAGGTTACAGGGAACCAGGCAGAGGGCCTTCTCGGTAGTGGCGCCTGCCCTGTGGAACGCCCTCCCACCAGATGTGAAGGAAATAAACACCTATCTGACTGTTAGATGACATCTGAAGGCAACCTTGTTTAGGGAAGTTTTTGATGTTTGATCTTTTATCGTGTTTTTAAGATTCTGTTGGGAGCTGCCCAGAGTGGCTGGGGAAACCCAGCCAGATGGGTGGGGTATAAATAATAAGTTGTTGTTGATGATGGTGTAGGTGCCATAGGAGGTACCACTGGGCACCTGCCACATTGGTAACCCCTGTAATAAACTCAAGGCATAGAATCGTAGAATTGGAAGGGACCACAAGGATCATCTAGTCCAATCCCTTGCAATGCAGGAATATTTTGCCCAATGTGGGGCTCAAACCCACGACCATAAGATTAAGAGTCTCGTGTTCTACTGACTGAGCCACACTTTCAAACAAAGAAGAGACAATAGGAATATGCCTTAGATGGAGTTAAACCACTGGTCCATAGAGTTCAGTGCTGTCTGCACTGATTGGCACTGAATTGTACGTTTCCAAGCACAATTCAAAGTGTTGGTGCTGACCTTTAAAGCCCTAAATGGCCTCAGTCCAGTATACCTGAAGGAGCGTCTCCACCCCCATCGTTCAGCCCAGACACTGAGATCCAGCACCGAGGGCCTTCTGGCGGTTCCCTCATTGCGAGAAGTGAGGTTACAGGGAACCAGACAGAGGGCCTTCTCGGTGGTGGCACCTGCCCTGTGGAACGCCCTCCCATCAGATGTGAAGGAAATAAGCAGCTATCTTCTTTTTAAAAGACATCTGAAGGCAGCCCTGTTTAGGGAAGTTTTTGATATTTAATGCTGCATTGTTTTTAACACTTGATTGGAAGCTGCCCAGAGTGGCTGGGGAAACTCAGCCAGATGGGCGGGGTATAAATATTAAATTATTATTATTATTATTATTATTATTATTATCATCATCATCATCATCATCATCATTGGCGGCAGCAGCACTCCAGGGTTACAGGCAGAAATCCTTCCCAGTCCTATAAGGAGATGCCAGAAACTGAACTTGCCACGACCACTCCATTTCTCCACGCGGACGTCATTCCGCCGCCTTACCTTCCCGAAGTTGCAGCGAGGGTTTTTGCAAACGACGCCTTTGCACAGGACAATGTCGCCATGGCAACTGCACTCCCGGCAGGAGTCTGGCTTCCAAGCGGTGTTGTTCTGCAAACAAGTCATAAGCTCGGAATTAAAATTGCATTAAAAAGCATGAACACTGCACGCAATTACGGGGCAGCAAAGAGTTCAAACGAATTAAAAAGGAAAAGGGCCCTTAAACATTGCAGAGGCAAACTTGGCAAGCCAAGTCTATCTGCTACACGCCGATTAGTACCCATGGCTGTAACAAGTCCAAAGCTATTCATTCCGTACTTCCAAAACATGTAATCAAAAGGCTCGGGCCTGCGATGAAAAGCAATCAATTCCAGCTGCAAAATAATTGATCCACCTAAGACCCGGTAGCTACAATCTGATTAGAGCTTCTCTTCCATCCAGCGACGGCTTCTATAAACAGACTCGGGCTGGGAATTTAACAGCCTCCAAAGGAGCTTTTGACGCTCCATTCATATTAAAATTAATGTGCTAGGAAAATTACCTGGGGTGTCAAACAGCTTCTATATATGGGGAGAGGCAGGAAAGATCTGGAGTCCTCTGGTTGGAGAGGAGACAGGGAATGTATGTAAGAAGAGAGGAAAGTTCCCGAGCTGGAGGAGCAAGGAAATGTAGTCTTTGGAAAAATGATTTTTTGTAGGAGCGGCTTAGGAAAATTAAGGAGCCGAGGGAAAAAAACAGCATTTCCCCCCCTTTTCTCTTTGCACTCAATATACCCGAAAAGTAACTCCATTTTTGTGTGTGCGCTTCCAACTACCCTCTCAAAATTTTGGGAGAGGGTGTTGCGTGGCGATTCCCGCCTCCCCCCAGTTGGAATAAAGACACAGGACACCTTTAGTTTAGGTTAACGGGCAAAAATTGGCCACAACTTTATTGGTTACAGGTAAGAGCGGTATTGGCTTAGGCATTGGTCCTATCAGACTATCCGGCTTCAGCCTGTTAGCATGAAAACCAAAAAGGGTTAACACCAGCAGGGGGAGCCCTGCGATGCACATCAACTAGGAACTCCCCCAGGGTCACGGCTCGGGGGCTCCATAGGTTTCGGATGAGGCAACGCCCCCCGGAATCCTTTACTGGACTACCCTTCAATATCTGGGGGAGGTGGTGATGGCGCTCCCCCCCCAACACATCTACATAATAATACCCCTACCAATATCTAACTGCCAAAACCAAAGACGTTGTGACGATTTGCTACGAGGTAGGCAAAAAACCAAATGGCCGGTGCCAATTCGCCAAGTGGAAATCAGCTGCGTGGTCGAAAAGGGGAGATCCCGGGGCCGCGCCAGCCTTAAATGACCCAGGCCACACCCCCGGAGCCAGCCGATTGGCTGGCTCTGGGGCTGATGTGGCCTAAGGATTCCCCTGAAAGCCAGCCTTCGTGCGAGTGTTGGGGGCGTAAGCCCATAGCAACACCACCTCCTCCTGATGTCGGAAGTGGCTTTGTCTTAAGCCCAATTCAAAAGGGGATGGGCATTTTCCAGCATCTGCTCTACCTAAAGTCCTACACACCCAGACAGTTCAGATCATGTCTGCCAACAAGGACCCCCAGTCTGAGCTCTAACGTTAGACTGCAGGTATCCACCCACCAACCAACACATTGAGTGATCCGAGTGTGAACCAACGGTATGCTCTGACATTTCTGTGTCACCTTTCCATGTTCTACTTGAGTTAACTAGAAGTTTCATGCAAACTCAACCCCAATGTGCTTTTGAAAAATGAAAAGCAGTTTCAAGAAGGGAAATCCACGCACATACACATCACTTCTCTGCTCTAAGCAACCCTCTTTCATTTTTTTTTGTTAAATATTTTTTATTAATTTTCCAATAAAAAACATCCAATTAACATACCGCATCAAATCCTAATCCAATTAAAATAAAAAACTAAAATAAAAAGACCAAATCATCATCCAAATTATAATTATTAATTTTTAATAATTATTAATAAAAATAAGCAACCCTCTTTCAAAGCTGCATTTAAATAAATAAACAAAAGTGACACTGGGGGCACTTGCGCACATTTGCGATTTTCAGGTGGGATTCAGTCACAAGCCAGCCAATTCACAATATGGAACAGAAGATAATTTGGAGCTCTTGCTTTCTCCCACCACCCCGTAAAAACACGTCAGATAACATTTGCTTGATGCAAAATTGTCTAACACCCCAGAAAACAAATCAGAATGAATGCTCAATAAACAGGTCGTTTGGAAGCAACCTGGGTATCAGGTATATGGATTTGCATGGAAGGAGAATATATCAAGCTCAGAGCTCAGACATTGTTGCTACTGCCACATCAGTTTCCTCCAATGCAGTGTCCACTTCATAGCGTAGCACTGTAGAGCTGTAAGGGACCACGGATGTCATCTAGTCCAACGCCCTGCAATGCAGGAATCTTTTTCCCAATGTGGCGCTCAAACCCAGGACTCTGAGATTTAAAACCTCACTTCCAGAGGGAGATGTTTCTCTGTGTTAAACACCACCCTTTCAGTCACACTGATATGCAGCTATAAGATCGGAGACTTCATTCCTTCGCAGTGAAACAGTACATGAAACCGAGTCCTCTCTAATAAAGCTGATGAGAATATTAAAGCTAAGTACTGCCACAGATCGGTGCAAATTTACAGCCCTGGAGCTCAGGAAATAAATGATACGGGAGAGGGGCCGTCATTTTTGCTCTGATAACATAACTGACCCAACGTGCAGCGGCAGGAGCAGTAACAGGGGTACCCTGAGAAAACTGTCTTCCTGGGGCTGATTTACTATACAGCTGCAGAATCAATTGAGGCCAAGTTATATGGGTGTCAAGCTCTGCCTAACTCTTACGCTGTATTTAATCCATTTCTGTGCCTTAAAAAAAAAAAAAAAGGAGGGGTGGTGGTGGGATAAAGCTGTTCCGTGTCAGACACGAGGCTTTTTCCAAAGATACCTGGAGCACACATACCTGCCCCCTTTGGAAGAATGATGCTCTGGTTTTGAGCCAGGATTAATGGCCTTACCTGGCTGCTCATTGCCATAGCTGTCAACTTACAGATTTGAAAATAAGGGACCAGCAGCCATGAAAATAAGGGACCAGCAGCCTTGAAAATAAGGGACCTGCAGCCTCAACTGTTCCAGGCACTCCAGTCTTCCTGTCCTCCTGCAGTCTGGTCAAACTCATGCTGGTAGCTTTGAGAACACTGTCCAACCAACTTTGTAACCAGAGGTTCAACTGAATAGAATCTGAATCACATGCACCACAAGGCCTATGCAGCCTCAACTTAAGATGACTCCCCGGCCTGGCTTTGCACTGCAAAGTTTGCAGCAGCACATGCAACAAAATGGCGTCCAGCATTCAAAAAACCCCTCAGCTTGCATTAACTAGCCACACACAAGGCATGCAAGCTCCACCCCCCAGTCGTTCTTAGACTTCTTATTGGGTAAGCAACACAGCCAAGCAACACAGTTGGAGCCTCCCTCCTCCCTGGCCGGCAGGGAGGGAGGGAGAGGAGCTGCTTCCTTTGAAATTTAGGGGACATCATTTAAGGGACATTTAAGGGACATCCATCAATAAGGGACAGCAGCGGGACATGGTGCTGGAATAAAGGACTGTCCCTTCAAATAAGGGACACTTGACAGCTATGCTCATTGCGTTCCTGTCCTTGCTCATCCCAGCAGTAAAGGGGTGGGCAGGGTGTCAACACAAGCAACAAGGGAGCTGAAGAAAGGCGCAAGGAGATTTCAGAAGTTGTTACGAAGACTCTTGCAGCCTGGTGCAGAGGGGCGATTGAACTGTCTGTAAGGAAGGTGACTGTTTTTTGTAGAGGATGGCAGTCTTGGGCCTCCAGCGTCCAGGTTCTGTTAGGGCACCAGTAGCAGCTGTGTGGTGGAGCAGAGCTTCAGAGGTGTCCTCCCAACACCAGCGTTCGCTGAAGCTTGTCTAAATGGGCCAAGTCATGGTTGTGTGCGCACTATCTCAAGACATGGTCCATGTCTTGAGTTAGCGCACACACCGTATCTGAATGTTCTGGGGCATGTGGTGTTCATACGGAGCCCCCGGTCGTCTCACGGACTATTGACCCGTACACCACTAATCCACTGCCACCAACCAGGTCCTCTCTGGTAAAATTACTTCAGTCTCAGTCAGCTTCTCAATTAATAAATAAAAGTGTATTTTATTTCAGACACAAACAAAACATTTACAGCATTCCAAACGTTGTTGCTCTTTACTTTCTTAGTCTTATTTTCCTCTCTCTATCTCTGCTACCTCCCCCACACTCAAGAACCCCACTGCCCTAACTGTCTCTCTAT